CCAGCGAGCTGCGCCGCTGCCTCCAGCGGCTCCCGCTTCCCGTTAGCTCCCTGCTTTGCGTGGGGAGGGGAAAAACAGGGCCGGGTGCGGCGGGCAGGGACAAAAAGGAGGCGCAAACCCCACTCGGCTGCGTCCCCGCAAGTGGCGGTTAATCCGGAGCAGCTGAGGTGAAAAGTCTTAGTGCTGGCTGCTCCGGGGGCCGGGCGCTGCGACCCCCCCAGCCTCGCCAGGATCCTCCTTTCTTTTTGTGCTGAGCAGCGGCCCGGAGGCCTGGAGGAGACGCGAGGCCGCTGGCTGCGCGGCCCGGCGGCTTCGATGCTGCCCGCGCTGGCCCTTCCACCCCTTCCAAGCCCCGAACTTCCCTTCCTAGCCCTTTCCGAAGGGAGCGGTGCCCGGGGGGCCTCCGGAGGGTCGTGGCTGGGGGGAAGCGGCGGTCGCGCCTCGGCGCCAGGCCTGACGTTCCCGGCGCTTCCGTGCTGCTGCAGCTGCTGGGAATAATGGAGGTTGCTGTCTCTGTGTCTCCCTGCCTCACTGTTTACAATATGGCGACCTTCCTTTAAATTATATTTTTATTCTCAGCGCCATTTTGGCTGCATATGTGACTTTCAAACCCTCGCCGTGCTCCCAGAGCACCTTTAACGTGGAAATACCTTCCCTGTGTAAATCCAGGCCTCCAGACTTTAGTACTGGCCGCATTTTTTCTTTTCCCTCCTTTTTCCTTCCTCCTGACGCTTTAGAGCTGCTTGTGTCATGCACGGGAGTGCCTGCTGTGAATTCGGGGGTAGTTGGGTCCTCTCGCTTGGAGTTGTGAGGCTTTGTTGATAGAAGGCAGATCTTTTTGCATGCAAATCTCGGGGCTGTGTTGGAGGTGCGCGCGGAGGCGGTTGCAGAGCCGGAGGTGGAGGCTGCAGCAGGGAGGACTCTCGTGCCTCGTCTCGGAGCTTCTCGAGCTGCCAACACAAAAGAGCCCCGGCAAAGGCACCTGAACTTACCGCCCTGAAGTTTTTTCTGCATCGGGAGCCCAGATGCATCAAAGGCTGCTTTACCCGTATCTCTTGTTCAACAGTTGACGCAGGCTGGCGGTTTGTGTTAAATTAGCACAGCCAGAGTGGATAATGGAGTGGAGGAGGGAGTGGGGCAAGTCAAACAGCTGGAGCTCGGGAGTGCAGAGTATTCTTCCTTAGGGGAGATTTTTTAACCGCATTCCTTTCTCTCTTTCATGCTTTGGAGCTTTGTTTGCTGCCCTGTTACAGCTGTCTCTCTCGTTTTTTTTCCCCATTTTTTTTCCTTCCCTTTTGCTTGCTGGTTATACTGTGTTTATATGCTAATTGCAGGTCTCTGAACACTTATTAAGCTGATTGCTGATACCAGGAAAACCGAACGTGCGGTCACAGTTCTGCAGGGAGTGTCCCGTTAGCAGCGTATAGCCAGACTTGCCCAACAATGCTGTAGTGTGCAGCCATGACATCATCCCTCTCACCCCGAGGAAGTGCTGCTGGTGGCAACGTAAATTCTCTAATATTCACTAAAATGTCGCTAGTATTTTCTGTCTGACCTTCTTGATAGACCTTATTTAAGGTTTAGGTCTTGTATGGGATGTAGTTGCTTAAAACTTGGGGTTTGGGCTTTCAGATGCTACCAGAGTCAAATGGAAACATTTCTGAGCCTTCTCTTTCTGGGGCTGCAGTGGTTGCTAAAACTTCATGTTTAGGTCCTGAGATGGCAGCTCTGTGGCTATTGCTGTGGAGTTTTCTAGTTGACTTTATCCTAGTTAATCCTAACTGCAAATGAGCCCACTTTGTGCATGTTTAAATCTGGCTAAATTTCATGACTTGATTTGG